TATATATATATATATATATATATATATATATATGTTTATGGTACTAATTAACAATATATAATCATATATATAGCAAATGATATATAAATATGAATATGTATAAGTTTTCTCAGTTCTGATTCGAGATTGTCCGAATTCTTCTTTCTTCTTTCTTCATCGCCTTCTGTCTATATTCAGTGAGTATATGTAAAATAATGATGTTTCTTTTTATTGAAAGGGAAGGCTTGATAATGGTTGTTCGGTGAAGGTGTTTTGACCTGCTGTTAGATTTTTTTGGCTACACTTTTTACATTCCACCTGAATAAGGAAGTTATTGAATTATAAGAATTGTACGAAAAATCGTAGTTTTTATTATTTGTGGTTTTTTCGTTGTTTGCTGAAAAAACTGTCAGTTGGTGAGGGAGAAAAGAAAAAAAAAGGAAGTGTATCGCTGCTAAGAAAACGGCCGTTTGTTGCTTAATATTACTTCGCCTCTATGCAGACTATAAATGTTACCTTTATTGTAATTGTTGTCTTTGTCTCAAAAAGGAGGAAGAAGGAAAGCTTCCTGTTATTTTCGGTATTATTTTAGTTTTTTAGTTCTGTTTTGTTATTCTTTTTTGTTTGTTAGCCGGTTATTTTCCAAGCAACGTCTTTAGTGGATGGTAGAAGGGAGGGGGAGACGGATACGTTAGGAGGTATTTTGGTTTTACTGGCATCAAGCTCTCAGTAGCTAATGAAAAAGAAGGAAACGCGTCTTATTTAAAAAGCATCAATGGGCAAAAACACGTGGAAGGATGGAATATACTGTTTTGTTCGAGGATGGCTGTCCTACGGATGGGTGGACGAACGAAGAAGATGGAAAGGTGGATAAATTTTGATTTAAATAGATACCTGATGATGATAAATCGGGCAAAGGGAAAGAAATATGTGTTAGTTTCTATTCATTTACATAAGTTTTTGCCGATATATACAGAGAATAGATGCGCTCTACAAATTTGGTTTCGATGGTAATCATCGCTGGCAGCAGCAGCAAAAACAATACCAAAAAAGTGATTTTTCTTGGCCGTGATTTTTCCTTTTTTTTTTTTTACCGGAAAATTCCGGGTTTTTGAATATTTTTACTTTCTTTATTTATTTAATTGTTCAATTGATTAATTAATTACTTCATTCATTCATTTATTCTTTTATTAATTAATTATTTAGTTAATTTGTTTGTTTATTTATTATTGTACTGTTGGTGTTGGTTGATTGTCCACAAAAAGGATACGGACAGTTTATAATTATCTATTCGTATAAAAAAACTTTTGTTTTGTTTTGTTTTTTTTTCTTCGTCTGTTTTATTTTAATTTTGACTGCGATCTGATTTGATTTGATTTGATTTTTACTGTCGTTTTCGATGCTTTGCAAAAAAAAAAAAAAAGAAAAATAGTAGAGGGCGATAGTATAGATGGATTGATGTCTTGAAAAAGAGGGGTGAGTTTTGTTATCATTTTTCAGTACTCGTGTGTTGATTTTGCGAAAGTAATAAACTTTATGTTGAGAAGTACGATTTGTATCTTATTTGTACTTTTTTTTATCATTGTTTTGTTGGTTGTAACTTGGAACTTTCAATTAGCTTTTCTTTTTCGTAAGCACGATTATTTGAAGAAATGGGTAAAATTAGAGGGAAAGGATAAGAAGGTGTTGTTGTTGTTTCATGGGTTCTTAGTTGTTGTTGTTGTATCGTTTAACTGACTGCTCTTGGCGGGTGTATTGTTGAACGATGAAAAAGGATGAACGAGAAGATGGGGTGAGGAGGAAAAATGGTTTCTCATTTATTGAATTTGAGGAGGCACATTAATGGCGATTATTGCAGTCTGCTGGATTTTTAGTTTTAACCTTTGCATCATCAATGAGCAGAAAAAAAATATAATTCTAATTAAAACAAAGTACGTAGTTTTTTCGAGCTCTCTTTTCTACAATTTTTCTGTCATCGTTTCTGTCGTTTATATATTCCTCGTTTTTTTTTTTTTTTATTTATTTATTTTTGGTTATAATTTATTATTTTAATAAGAGTGTGTACCGGACGAATGCTATTTACAATAGTATACATTGATTTATTAACAAGTAATTTAATCTGTTAGTGTTTATTTCAGTTTGTTGGTGAAAAGAGTCAGAAAGAAAATAATAAAGGCAATTTTGATGCGGTTCATCAGCTCCAAAAAGATCATCGACAACGGTACCGTCTGAGGTACGGAGCTATTGCCACTGCTATGGAACGAACGGATTTGCAGCGCAAAATTTCAGCAGATTCTACAGGTCGTTAAATTTATTTTTTCAAAATTTTTAATTCTCAGCTCTAGTTCCACTTGAAAGTGCAGTGACTGACTATGTTTTTGTTTCTTCCGTTATTTCTGTCGCTTTACTTATTTTGTTCTTTCAGCTTTTTCTTTTTTTTCTTGCTAGTGAGGAAGTTAGGAGATGAAGCATATTCCTGGGAATCGCTGTTTATATAGCATATTTGGAATTCTTAACCCCCTTAGACTCAAAAATATGTGCTTTTAATAGTCTTTTTGTCTTTAGAAGGAGCTTCAAAACCGCCGTTTAAGCGGGGGCACATTCGACGCAGTTCTTATGAATCAGCACAAATTCAGTTTAACCATCGCCCAGCATTATTGGGCTCAAAAAAGGCTTTTAGTTTGAACCGGTAAGGGTTTTGCTTTGTTTTATTTTTCTCATGTTACTGTAATTTTTTCATACATTCGATTTTACAATAAAAGTAGAAAATATTTGATTACCTTTTTTTGTCGGTTTTTAATGCCTGTTTACTCTCGAAAATTCTTCTGCAATTTTGCTATTCTTCTTTTGGAAAAGGTCTTTTGTACTGCCAATGTTATTGACTAGCCGTAAGCACTACAGTAAATACTTTTATTATAATTGGTTTCTCGTTGATATCTATCTGAAAAGTTTTATATATTTTTTAGTGGGAAATAAGATGCAATGACTTCTAGTGATCTTATTTCTAGCTAACTAAGCTGGTTTACTGCTTTTTGGTCTTCTGTTTGTTGATTTTTGTTAGGTATAAATTTAATCACAAAGCTTATTCTGATGAAATAGGGATTTCTGTATGTATATATATTTTAATTAGTTTTTTATTCTTCTTTTAGACTTAATTTATTTGGGCGACGTTCATTGAGGTTTCTAGGAGAAGGGTTTTTGGAATAGTTAGGAATTAAATCTTTTTCGTTTTGTATGAATCTTAAAAAAAAGCCGAAGAATTCTAAGCGAAGTTAACGTTGTGGGGTGATCTGATCTACAGAAATTACTTATTTGCTGTTACTACTACATTACAGTGGACTTTTAGATGGAAAAAGGTAATAAAAAAGTTTTTTTTATTATCAACGGATCTAGTTGTCGTTTTTTTGTATCTTCAGAATAACTTGGGTGGTTTCAAGTTTTTAGCAAATAACGTTTTCCTTAGACAAGATTTATATTTCGTACGTACTGATTTCTTTAACTTACCATAAAATCTTGTTTTTATACAAATATTTCCTTCGTTTTAGTCCTCTGACTCTTCTTTTGGCTATTATTTTCAAATTTTTATTATGTTTGGTGATCTCACATCGCTGTTTTTTTGTTGTTAAGTAGTTTTTTCATAGACTTACCACTTATTGTTAATTTATTACTGATTTCTGCATTAGTGTAGTATTTGCTTACCTAAATGATATATTTTCTTCTTTTTTTAAAGGTCAAGTAACAGTTTGTTTCAAATATATTTCCTAAACTTTACTTTCTTTCTGTTTTAATGTTACGAAATTTAAATTTGCATTTACGTTTTTTTCTTTCCTTTTTATTTCTAGTCATTTGAAGGAAAAGTAAAAGATTTGAGAATTTTCGTCTATTTATTCGTTTTTCAAATGATTTTATAGATTTTCCGGGTTTATTTGGAGATGTTGCATTTTTTTTTCTTAAAGGATTTAGGAACAGAACGTGATGTGAAATATCAGAATAGGGGACAAAAAGGGGGGGAGGGGGAAAAATACATGATTTGTATAATATGAATCGATGTATCGGCAGCTCAGTTTGCGTCATTATCGGAAATGTAATTTTTGGGTTGTGTTATTGTTGTTCACCGTTGGGTACTACTTGTTTGATTGCTGCAGTCAACAACAAATACAACACTTGTAGGCCTTGCTCAGTCAGCTGAATGAAGACATTTAGACTTCTACAGCTGATATTGATGGTTTTTTTGGTCGGCAGATTCTTTAAGATTTTTTGTTATTAACATCTACTTTTACAAGTAAAGTTATTCGTTGAATTTCTCTGCACTTTTATTATCACTTGATCAGTTGGGCATTTAAATCTCGTTCTTCCTTGATGCTTTACTGGGGGGTTTGTTTATGTGATGCCTGTATTTGTGCTGTTGATGTTATTTGGCAATTAGTAATGGTACTGACAGTAATTATCTGATTAATTATGAGAAACGAAGAACAGGTGAAATAAAATAAGAGGGAGATGAATGGTTAGCTTTTTTTTGTTACTGTAGTTTATTGATTCTTTCATGTACAATTTTTTTTTCTGTAGCTTGCGCCTGGCAAGTGATAATTTTTTTGTATTCCAATGTTTCTCCAAGTATTGGCTACATAGCTTGATGAAAGACAGTTTGTCTTAGACGTTTCTCTGAGTGCTGTTGTGGAGTTTGTTGTATTTACATTTCGGTTGTTTAAAACAAAACTAGATTTAGGAGAACGGACAGGAGAGATGGATAGAACAAATGCGAAAAAGCGAAAGTAGCAGAGGCCTATGATAGATTGGAGATTATGGGGAGGAATGGGAGAAGGAGGGGAAGGGTCGAAGAACAATGCAAAACCGTTTTCAGTGTAGAAGAAAGAATGAAAAGGATATGGGGAAAAAAAGTGAAAGGATAAATTAGAAAAAGATAATTCTATATATTTTTTCCAGTTTGCAAAACTATAAATCTGTTTTTGACTTTGCTGCAAGTTTCAAAGGAACAGTAAAAAAAGAAGAAGTGGAAATTTT